ATGATAGCATTTTCTACTGCATTACTCAGTTTAAACTTAGTAACCAAACTCATTAAATCTGCATATGATTCATTAGGAAAATCTTTAAATTTATTAGAATTTTCTTCTTCTGAGCTAGAAAATTCATTAAAATTTATTGAGATCTCTAAATCTTTAACGATATCTTTGTAATTCTGCAAATTATCTTAAAAAATTTTGATAAATTCTTTATCATTTGCAACTTTAAAGCTCATATTATTCTCATCTTTTAATTCAAAAAATATATCATTCTCTGCTTCAAAGTTTTTTGAAATATCGCAAAGGTTTTCCTGATTAGAAGCAATTGGGCAAATATTATCTACAGTTTTATAAGATTAAATTCTAAACTTAATATTGTTTATAAAATTTTTTTTAGAACTAAATGACTTATTTTCAGAGCTAGAAAATAAGTTAACCAAATTATCATTACTAGGTCTATTATCTTGAATTTTTTTAAATTCCTTCATAAAATTACGGCTTTTGCTATAAGGATTTGGTATCTGACTATTCTCTTCATCATCAGCTATTTTAATGCATTTATTCATATGTTAACTATATTCAATTCTTGAATAAAATGAACAGATACAAATAGGGCACATATAGCTAGATATTTTTAGATTATTATAAAGTTATGGATATTTTTAATGTTAAAAAATTTTTAAGTTAAAGTAATTTTAACTATGAATAATGAATTTAATTTTGAATAATTATAGAAATTTTTGTAAAAATCCTAAACCTAATTAATTTTAGTGTATCTCTTTTTATTATGCATGATTATATTTAGAAGTATTTTTATTTAGAAAATTTACAAAATACATTGGAGTATTTTATATGTAGTTAAAACATGCAGTAAATTTAAATAAATTTATTTTTAATTTTATTTTTTATAGAATGGCAAAAAAATTATTTATAGAGAACAAAATAATAAAATATATATAAAACTTACTAGCTAATAAGAAATTAAAATATAGAAGCATGTATATATATATATATATATATTTTTTAATATTAAGGTAACTACTTAAGCTATTAGCACGAGCTTTATTCAAATAGTTATAGTATTATATCTATTTTATAAGAATACAACTAGTCACACATACACCTTTTGGGTATCTAATTTAAGTAGTTCATCTGGGTTCTATACTAGTTGCCATACCTGCAATCTAACTAGAATATACATGCTGACGAAATTATTTCAGGATCTAAAACCCGAAATTAAAATTTGAAGATGAAATTGTTTTTGATCTATTTTACTTAAAAGACAAAATTTTTTAACACTTTTTTTGAATAGACAAAATTATAAGGAGTATAAATATATAAAT